ATACTACTTTATTTTGTTACATCTTAACCATTGTGAACTCTTTCAGTTGGCTTCTGTGTTACTTTGGCTTGACTTAATCAATGTAGATTTATTTATTTTTTAATCATGTTCTTAACTTTTGACACTAAAAGTTGATGTAGGTACCTCTTTTATATTTCTTGCCCAGGTCCTAAATTTGGTCATTTCCCCAGGAAATTCTAGTTCCTCATATTAAAAATTGTTATTAGACTTCAAAATCAGGGTGCTGACTAAGCAAAGACATATGTGTATGAATACTAAGAATGTATTTGCACATATCTACAAATATTTCTTTACATAACCACATTTATCTATAGTAAGCTAAGTTTATAGCATGATGTCTCTAACTCTCATCCATTACCTCATGAATCAGTCTAGCCTTATTCCCTTGCTTATCTGTAAATTTCAACTCCAATAGAACACTTGACTTAAGACTGTGAAAATCAAATTGTAATAACTTTGTTATCCCTTGGGAAGCTATATTATCAGCAGAATAATTCCTAAAGGACATGGTGTATATTGTCAAAATTAATTTACAGGCAGCACCACTTTTTAACATCAATAGACCTCCAGACTTCTGGTTCTGATAGAATGGAATAGCCTCATTTCTCCTAGGTCTTTTATAACTAAAAACCTGAGTCTAACATAGTAAACAAGCATGGGAGACACTGAATGATTAAAATTAGAAGGCAGACTTACTAAGGACCTTGAAACTTAAGAAATAACATGGCAATGAATTCCCTATGTTTCCTTATTCCTTCCCATATATCTCAGACAGGGAACTACAGGAGCCTCTAATCCATACCAACCAACAGACACCGATGAAACAGGCTCTAAGAAAAGCCTGTACTTCCTACTCAAAATAAGAGTACAGGGGTTTCTACAACAGAAACTTTTTTGGCAATATACTTATAACTCCAGTCAAACACTAATGGAAAAATCATTCCCATCTCCTATGCCTTTGGTCTCAGTGGTACCAAGCAAGGAGATGATCTTCCACACCTTACCCCTTCCTTTCACAAGCAGGCAGCTTTTGATTTCCCCACCAGGCTTGTTTCTATATGGTTCATTGATGAGCTAGGCCTCCACCCCACCCATCAGCAAGGAGACTTAGGGAAGTGATGCCAGACAGGTTACAACTGAGCTCCCCACACTTAGCCATGGGATCTTGAATCTTAACATCCACCTCTACTTAGCATGAATAACAGGTTATTGCAAGTTGGAGCTAGTAAGCACTGCACTTTCCCCCAAAGTGTAATGTCAGTGGAGTCCAGTGGGGAACTGAGCCTTTACTCACACCTGACATTCACATGATTGAATGAGGTAGTATGAAGAAAGACAGTTGACATTTCATTTCCCCTTCCCTGGTTCAGAGGGCCTATTAGAGTGCTGAACCCCTATTGCCATTTGAAGGCAACAATAAGATATGAGTGGTCCCACTTTCTTTGGGAAGGTGTTAGCAAGGCCAAAGGGGGAACGAAACTTCTACCCCACTTGTCTACAGTAAGGCCTTGTGAGTAAGTGCCTCACTATTGCTAGTATGATGTCAGTAGGGCCCAGTGGAAACTGTACATTCCCATCCACCTTTAGCAGGGAACTTCCTGCTTAAAAAAAAAAATAATAAGATGAAATAGGATCCAGAGTCATGTAACACTCATAATGTTCAGAATACAATTGAAAATTACTCTTCATACCAAAAAGCAGGAAATCACAAAATGAGTGAAAAAAGACCGCCAATATACACTAACACTGAGATAAGTTAGATTTTGGGATTATCTGACAAGGATTTTAAATAAGCTATCACATGACTATTCCAACAAACAATTGTGTATGTTTTTGAAATAAATGAAAAGAAAACAGAAAATGTAAGCAATAACATAGAAGTTACAAAATAAAAACAAGTATAAATGTTAAAACTGAAAAATATAATAACCACAATAAAAACCTTGCTGGACAGGTTTAAGAGTAGAGTATAGATGTCAAAGTATAGGATCAGTGAGGACAGAGCAATAGAATTTATCAAATCCGAAAAGCCAGAGAGGAAAATAGACTTGGTAGGGGAGTGGGAAGGATCTCAGAAACCTGTAAAACAATTTTTAAAAATGTCTATATCATCAAAGTCCCAGAATGAAAACAGAGAGAAAGTGAGCTGAGTTCAATGAAAAAATATTTGGGCCAGGCACAGTGGCTCCCGCTTATAATCCCAGCACTTTGGGAGTCTGAGGTAAGAGGATTGCCTGAGCCCATGGGTTCGAGACCAGCCTGGGCAACTTGACGAAACCTCATCTCTACAATAAATCAAAAAAATTAGCCGGGTATTGTGTGCCTGTATTCCAGCTACTTGAAAGGTTGAGGCAGAAGGATCGCCTGAGCGCAGCAAGTCGAGGCTGCAGTGACCGGGAGCACACCAGAGTGAGACTCCGACTCCAAAACTAAAAAGAAAAGAAAAAATATTTGAAGAAATAATGACTAACTAGTCCTCAACTTTGGCAAAAGACATAAACCTACAGATTCAAGAACCTGAGCAAGCTCCACATAGAGTAAACACAATGATATCATGCCAAGACACGCCAAAACTAAATTTCTGAAAAATAAAGACAAAGGAAGAAATCTAAAAAAGCAGATAATGCATTACCTATCGAGAAACACCAGTTCAAATGACAGCAGAAAAGAACTGTCATGAATTTTATATTCAACCTCTTGTTTAGCCTTTATTAATAGACTACTAATCAATGTTTCTGTATCTAAGATGGCAACCACCTTTCTCCAACAATTAAGCCACAGTATTTCCAAAGTGTTCTTTCTAAAATGAACAAACAAAAACACCTGACCATGCCTCCCATGTATCTCAGACAGGGAACAACAGGAGCCTCTAATCCACAACAACTGACAGACACTGATGAAACAACCAACGTGTCTTTTTCTCTTCTAACTTCACTTTTCCAGATAAAATCATTCAGTGTCTTCCCATCTTCCTTAAGATTAAGTCCCACATCCTTACACACATACATGATCTAAAATCTGGCTGCAGCATCCTGCAATTATCTTCGTTTTTATCTTCGTACCATTCTAAGTACTCTTTATACCAGTTGTATATGGTATTCTTTTATGTTCTATTTATTAACCACTATGTTTCTTTCCACTATTTTTCTTCTTTTCCTCATAAATTTACCCCTCCACATTAAATATCCATCTCCAATATTGTCTTCTATAGAAAATCCTGCTAATATTCCTTAATTACTACTGGTCCACAGAATGAATCAAGGCCCTGCCTGTGTCTTTTCATAGCACTCTGTAATAATTTGTACTACTATTATGGACTTACTTATCTGGAGGCCCCAGTAGAGTAAATTCTAGGTGGTAAGATAAGATTTTATAGGGGTTACACTGGTGTCTATCTAGCTTAATCCCTGACATACATTAGATGTTCAGTAAATGTTTGTTAAATGAATGAGTGAGTGATCAACTTCAAATCCCAATTATTTCCTTATTTTCTATTAGGAAGCTACCAAAGATACTGACAGTTTTCCAGATTAGGGATTTAGGATCTTTGATTTGACTTAATAGAGGAAATTGTTACTGTACTTAAATCCCACAGAGAAAAATTATTAAACCAGGGACTTAAGATAACCCATTTGGACCTTCAAGTCTACCATTGATATCCCACTGCTAAGGTATCAGATTGTAAGTCCCAACCCACATCTCCCAATAATCACCATGCTGGTGCATAACAATAGAATTGTGCTACCAGTTGCAAATATCCATGGCAGACAAGAAGTGTGCAGGAGATAATGTATCTGGGAATAGCTTTCAACCAATTACAAAGAGAACTTGGGGTATAAGTACTTCAGCTTTCTCACTCATTGATTGGGATAACTCTGAGGCATGGTCTACAGAGTCTCACAGAACTCTGTTCAGTAATGGGCCTTTAATGGCTTTCTTCCATGCCTCTATTCTCATTTCCCACTCTACTTTTGAGTTTTCTGAGATCACCTCCCAGGAATAGTTTGCATTCAAATTTATCTCAGGCTTTGTCTCTGAGAGAACCCAACAGAAGACAATGCTAAACCTTTTCTAGTTCTGTATTGGTCTATGTTACTTACAGGGCCATCATATATAGACGCCAAGGGATGGCTTATTATGTGTCATTTCTCCTTATTCCTAATGTTTTCAAACAGATGGAAAATAACATGACCTTAAAGAAAAAAAATATGTTTTTATATAAGCATGGCCAAGAAGTTGAGGGAAGGAGATAGAGTGCAACTTGTTCTACATTAATGATTAATGAAGAATTTAGGTGTAGAACGTATGGACAGATGATCTGTAAGTGGTATGGCTATAATTTAGGAATGTTACTCCTTTAGTTACCCAGAAAATTGCTGTTATTGTTTGGGGATCACAATCTTTGAATTTCATGGCTTTTTTGCTTCTCTTTAATATCCTTCTTACTAAATCACTGACTAGTAGTCAACAGATTTATTCGTTCCCCTCTACCCCATCACAAAAAAGCGCTACACACACAAATATACACAAACACTTGTGTGTGAAAAAGCTTGAAAAGACACTAACAGTTTCTAAAGTATCCTTCAACAAGTTTCTATATTTATTTTATGAATAAAATTAGTCAGATTAATTTTCTGAAGGTCTAAGTGAAAACTAATGAAGTCTAGGTGAAGACTAAAGAATGGAAGTGAAATTTAAAGAAAAAGACTTAGATAGATGCATTTTTGCTCTCACTTTGTGTCTTAATGAACAAAGGCTAGCTAGGCCTTTTTTGAAGTTTTTACTTGGCTTGAAAACCCATCATGCAACCTGTACTCTTGTCATTTGTTTCCTTTGTGAGAATTCAAATGTATAAACCATGAAACTTTCTTAAGTTATTCTGTTTAGAAGATATATACTTGAACATTTCATTTTAATTTTAAAGAAGGTAAATCTACATGTACAGATAATTGTCCTTTCTCTTGCTATCTCCATTTCAGTTTCCTGGGAAGGACTGGTTTCCCCCCCAAAAAGTGATTTCTGATCGAAACCTACAGGTGATCTTCAAGAAAAAAGAATCCAGTAAAGTCAATGAATTAAGAACAAGGTTTTCAATCAGGTAGGAACACTAAGTCTCAAATTTCAATCACCTTAAATTAAGTGTGCTGTTAACTGGATTTGATATGACTGTTCGGAAAAAGATGGGTATCCAACCTGCCCTACAGGGAAGCTGTTCACAATCCCTTTGGCAGTTGCGATGTTTATCAGACAATACCTTGGAGGGAAACAAATACAATAACAGCATGATGCTTTTTTCCATTTTTAGTTCATTGTTACTAAGCACACATAGTGATCTCTATGCCTGTGGTTTAATCCCCGAAGGTTAGGCCTGCAGAGCAGCAGATTAACCCTTTTGGTATTTTCTTTAAGGTAAATTATTTTCATAGGCCGTGTCCATGACCTTCTAATTGTTTATTTAAATTAAGGACCACGATGGCATCGAGTGTCCTAAATGAGGAAGAGCCCCAGTCAGTGGTATGTGGAAGTTGGCTTGGTTTTTGCTGGAGCACATCTAGGCCTGGTCTTGATACAGTCAAAATGAGCATACATAGGGTGTTGGAAGACAAAAGAATGGGGCATGTCAAAGAAGGGCTCTGTTTTTATTTATCTATGTATGTCCAAATCCCACTGACAATTCATTTGCATTTTAAGATCAAAACTTGTGTCAAAAAGACATCCCATTTTATGACAAGAAAACAAAAATACATTTGCAGTTATATACTCAGTGTTTAGCACAGCACTTGATCCTCCGTCATTACTCAAAGATATGTTGAATTGCAGATGCGTGAATGAATGAAAAAAGTTAATATGATAGGAGAGGTGTTTTTTTTTAGATTGCCTTGTGTGTTGACTCCTGTAGTCTCAAAACCGAGCATTGTAACTAACACATGGAATGTGACCAGTAAAATTTGTTGAATAAATGAATGAGTAGCCAGGATTCTATAGATAACTGTAAAACCACCACAGACCTCATATTTGCCAAGGTCTGTAGCAGAAGGGTCCATGACGTGATAGCCTCGATCTCAGACTGCTGATGTAGCTGACAGTGTATCTAGTTTTGAGACTGATATTTTTTTTGCCACTTAATTATTATCCTTTACCTGTAGATATAGTACCTTCATTAGACTTACTATTCAATGATTTGAGAATGGGGATAAAATGTATCTGATAAATTTCTTAACTCTATTATTTGCAAACTTTCTTTGAGTCAGAGTCTCACTCTGTTGCCCAGGCTAGAGTGGAGAGCAGTGGCATGCTCATGACCACCACAGCCTGGACCTCAGGTAATCCTTCTGCCTCAGATTCCCAAGTAGCTGGAATGACAGGCATGCCCACCATGCCCAGCTAATTTTTTTATTTATTGTAGAGATGAGGTCTCACCAAGTTGCCCAGGCTAGTCTTGAACCTGTGGGCTCAGGCAATCCTCTTACCTTGACCTCCCAATGTGCTGGCATTATAGGTATGAACCACAGCATCTGGCCTATTTGTAAACTTTTTAAAAACTTATAATCAACACATAGTGATTGTGCATATTTATGGGGTACAGTGTGATATTTCCATGCAGGTATACATTGTGTAATGATCAAATCAGGGTAATCAGCATATCCATCACTTTAGACATTTATCATTTTTCTTTGTGTGATAACATTAAAAATCCCCTCTTCTAGCTATCTGGAAATATACAATACATTATTATTGACTACAGTCACCCTACTGCAAAACAGTTGTTAGAGCACTTTTATAATGACACAGTTAAGAGTAATTTCAGAATGACTATCTGCTAAGATCGTTACTTATCCTGTTCCACGGGTAGTACAGCAAAAGTGCTGCAGCAGCTATTTCTCTAAATTCTGCTGGTGCTATCTTCTGCATTCCTAAGGAAGACAAAAGCCATTTCGTTAAAGAAATGTAAAAATTAACATAATCGTTACCCTAAACCCCCAAAACACACACTTTCCCAGGTATAGTGATCTAAAATAGCACTCTGGAATTCATTTCAAAATAAGAGACAATGTACTCATATTTGATTATTTTATTTTTTATCCATGTATGACTTTCAGATATACTTACTAACAATAATTCTGAGTTGCTAGATGGAACATTAACTATGTAACATTTTTGTCTTTGTATGTATTTACCAATAACCTCTGAGATTGCCTCCCACACTCTATTCTTTTCCTGCATTCTCATGGGAACCTGAGATATAGTGATATGTTGTTTTTAAAATTTCTAGACAGCCAAAAGACTAGTATCATTTAAATAAAGAGAGAAAATTGCCCTAAAGTAAAAGGCTTCTTTATGGAACATAAAGTCCTTATACAAAAAAAAAAGGAAGAATTTCACAGCTATAACACTTCTGAGTGCAAAAGATTTATAAATATATATATACTGTATGCTATTTCAGAATAGATCTCTATACTTAATGTCTAAGGATTGCCTTTGGTGTTTAGAAGATTTTTAATTTTAAAATATTATTATATAATATATTATACATGCAAAACAATACATACACATTTATGTAAGTTATGAAACAAACATAATAAAATAAACTGCAAGCACACCACCAAAACTAAGAACTAGAATAAACATGCTGAATCTTCTTTGTGCTCTCCTAGGCTCTACCTTTGTGCTGTTATCAAAAAAAGTAACTCTATTCTTGGTCTCTTGGTTTTATATTCAACATTAATTTTTATGGGGTTTTTTTTTTTTGCCCTATTTGTTGTTTTGCTTTTTGTTGAGGTTTATAAAATTGGTATCCTACTTCATGTAATCCTGTGTGCTTGCTTTTTTTCACCCAACATTATGTTACTAAGGTTTATCCATTTTGTTTTAACTAGTGTTCATTCATGTTTTCTACTGAATACCATTGTGTTCCATAGATTTTAAAATGTGTCATTTTGGGTCCTGTTATGAACAATATTTTATGAACATTTATTTTAATGTCTCCTGGTATACATATATAAGATTCATCTGAAAATATGTAACTAAAAATAGAATTGTTGGGTTTTGGGAAATTTGAATATTCAACTTTAAAAGACAATGCTAAAATGTTTTCCAAAGTTATTCAGTCGAGCTGTAGTCCTATTGTCTTATCATTCTATAGTTCACCAGTTAAATCAGCCAATCTAGCTAGTATAAAATCTCATTTGGTTTTCATGTTAGTTTACCAGGACCACCATAACAAAATGCCACAAAATTCACGGTTTAAACAACAGAAGTGTATTCTTCCACAGTCCTGGGGGTTAGAAGTTCAGAAAGGTGTTGACAGGCTTTGTTTCTCCTGAGGTCTCGCTCCTTGAATTGCAGACTTGTTGCCTTCCTGCTATGTCCTCGTGTGGCCTTTCTCTGTGTGCCTATACCCTAGTGTCCCTTTTTCTTCTTATAAGAAATTCAGTTACTTTGGATTAAAACCCCACACTCAGGACCTTATTTAACTTAAATGACCTCTTTAAAGGGCCTGCTTTCATATACAGTCACATCGGAGCCTGAGGCTTCAATATATGAATTTTGAAGGAACATAATTCAGTCTATATTAGTATTAATTTGTGTTTCCCTAGTTACCAATGAGTTGAGAATCTTTTCAATTCTCTTATAGTTCCTGTTTTTTCTATTCTGGAAAATTTCAGAAAATGTCTTATATCCATTTTTCTATTTATCGTTTTTATATTTATTTATCATTGTTGTTTGGCTACAAACAAATTAGTAACCCTGCATCAGCAATATATGATGTCAATAACTTTTCCCAGATGATGCTTGTCTTTTCACTTTTTTAATGATGTATTGTGATAAATAGCAGGTTCTAATTTTAATAAAATTAAATGTATCGTTTAGGTTAGTGCCTTTTTGTCTTACTTAAAATGCCCTTTCCCAATTTGATGTTATTCTTATATTATTTGTAAATTTTTTTCTAGAAGTTCTAGTGTACTTTTGTTTGTTTTCTAGTTTTCTATGCAAGTCATTAATCTTTTTAGAATTTATTTGTATATGTGATTAAATTTATTTTTTCCTTATGAATAATTAAGTTTTCCAGGGCCATTTATTAAATAGTTCATCTTTAGTTTAGTAATCTGCAAAGACCTCTCTATGATTTGTCAGATTTCCAAACATGTTACAGTCAATTTCTGGGTTCTTAATTTTGTTCCATGAGTCTGTTTGACTACTTTGAAACAACTCCACACTGTCTTAATTAATAAAGCTTTATAATAACTTTTGTATCTGATGGACAAATCTTTCTACATTAATCTTCTTTAAAAGTGTCTAAGTTAGTCGGGCTCGGTGGCTCAGCCTGTAATCCCGCGCCTTTGGGAGGTTGAGGTGAGTGGATTGCCTGAGCCTGCGGGTTCGAGACCCGCCTGGGCAGCGAGACCTCATCTCTACAATAAATCAAAAAATCAGCCAGGCGTGGTAGCGCATGCCTGTAATTCCAGCTACCTGGAAGGCTGAGGCGGATGGATCGCCGGAGCCTAGCAGGTCGAGGCTGCGGTGGCTGGGAGCAGCCACTGCACTCCAGTCTGGGCGACAGAGTGAGACTCCAACTCAAAAAAAAAAAAAAGTGTCTAAGTTATTCTTGTCAATGTGACCATTTATGTAAATTTCAGAATTAGCAATTTTACAAAACATCTGAAGTAATTTGACTGAAATTGTACTGAATGTGCAAATTAAGTTGGAGAGAATTTACATCACTATGGTGCATCTTTTTATCCATAAACAAGGTATATCTCTCAATTTATTTTGGACTTGAAATATTTTTCAATATGGTTTTCTCCATAAATGTCTTGCATATCTTTACTTATATTATTCCTAGGTAACTTTTAAAAATTTTTATATGATTTTTAAGTCACTCTTTGATTCTACCTTATGGAAATGCAATTTTTTAAAATCTTGAACTTATATCCACCGTCTTACTAATATTACTTATTAATAAAAGTGGGTTTTCTTAGCAAGGAGGAATAAATGTAAATTTTTTTTAAATGTTGTAGGTCAGCTAAGTTCCACAGAACTTTTTGTGATAATGAGAATATTCTCAGTGCTAACAGTATAACCATTAATCACATGCTT